ACATCAGCTCCATCACCAAGAAGGCTCAGCAGAGGTTGTTCTTCCTGAGGCAGCTGAAGAAATTCAACCTGCCAAAGACGATGATGGTCCACTTCTACACGGCCATCATCGAGTCCATCCTCTGCTCCTCCATCACCGTCTGGTACGCTGCAGCCACAGCCAAGGACAAGGGCAGGCTGCAGCGTGTCATCCGCTTTGCAGAGAGGGTGATCGGCTGCAATCTGCCGTCCCTGCAGGACTTGTTCGCTTCCAGGTCTCTGCAGCGGGCTAAAAAGATTGTGGCCGACCCCTCTCACCCCGGACAAAAGCTGTTTGTGCCACTTCCATCTGGCAGGAGGCTGCAGTCCATCAGGACTAAGACCTCCCACCACATGAACAGTTTCGTCCCGTCGGCAGTCGGGCTCATCAACAGAGCCCGGTCCCCCACTGACTGATTATGACATTCCACTGGCCACTCCCCCTTATACTGCACATGTCAATTTAACTGTAATTTGTCACTCGTGACTTTGTCGTCACTCGTTCAATAGTGCACTTTATGTTTAATATTTTAAATATTTAACTTTAACTTCATTCTCTTGTTTTATACTAACCCATAGCCTTATTCTACTAACCCATTGCATTAGCATTGGATTTTATTCTATTACTTGTTCACTGCTGTCTTGGTGTCTATTGTTACACAGTCTACTGTCACGCACCAACCGCCAAGACAAATTCCTTGTTTGTTTGACATATTTTGGCAATAAATGTTTCCTGATTCCTAATGTTTTTTGAATCGAACATAGGCATTTGATGAGATAGATGAATTCCAAACATGTAACAAATAATAAAAGAAAAATAACTATTAAAATAACTGAACGTATTTCATTATGAATAAATGCATACGTCTTAAAAACTGTAGGAAAAAGTAAACTTAGTAAGTAAAGACTTATTTTCAATTGTCTTTCTATCCACAACTTAAATAATTAATTTAATATCTAATTTTAAAAAAGGATGTTCATACTTCTTCTTAAACTCAGTTTAATCCATAATTTGCTCAATTCCTTCATTAAAGGAAGATGAAACACGACTTCTTCTTTCTTCTAATAAATCGCTCCCTTCCATTGTTTGTAAGGTGCCTGGAGGTGCCAAGTCATAATCCACACATATGCGGTCAACCATGTAAATGTAAATAAGTACTTCACCATAACATCAAAGGACATTCCAGGTTTGAAATATTTGGGAGTTTTCTTGAAGAGAATGGTGTAAGGTGATTGGACAATCTGGATGCTTCTCAACTCTGCCTCCACCATTTCACCACCTTGATACAGAAACACAAACACATTTACACAAAAACTGATTACAAGATCATTTTATTTTAATCTTCGTTAACCGATGTGTTGATTTGATTTTAACGAACGATACATAGGCATAACAACAAGGGAACGACAAATTATTGAACTACAAACCAACAAACATATGGTCAGTGTATGGGAGAATGGTGCGTTTATGCGCATGTAGGTGTGTGTGCGCGTGCCAGAGCCCTTTTATGATGAAAAACATAAAGGAGGGCAAATCAAATAACAGTCTACGTGGGTCTACGTTTGTTTCCAGGCAATAATAAATACACTACAGTGCCCAGTGGCATGAATGTAGCTATCCGGGCTGTTTTGACTGCAGTGTGAACAGTGTTTACTTTCTGTTCTCCCTTCGTTATTGTTGTATAATGGTGGAAGTTTGCTGGAAGTTCCTTTGATCAAACACTGATCACACCACTCCACTTTCTCCCACACTACTCCGCTCCTCCACTGGTTACCAGTGGCTGCCCGCATCCAGTTCAAAACATTGGCGCTCACGTACCATGCTGTGAATGGATCAAGTCCAGTCTACACCCCAACCTGCACACTCCGCTCTGCATCTGCCAAACTGCTTGTCCCTCCCTCACTGAGAGCAAAACTCTCGACTAGATCACAACTCTTTGCTGTCCTGCTCCTAAATGGTGGAACGAGCTCTCTGAAGACACCAGGGCCGCAGAGAACCTTCACATCATCCTCTGCAAACTAGACACACCTCTTCAGATTCTACCTCGACTAAAAGACAAATTATAGCACTTAAATTGTACTTGTAATGGCTTTTATCTAGAGCAAGTTGTAGATCGGCTTATTTGATGAAATTTCACTTTCTGGTTATTTTATGTCTGAATTCTTATGGTTGAAATGCACTTATTGTAAGTCACTTTGGATAAAAGCATCTGTTAAATTACATGTACTGTAATGTGGTAGGGAACAAACACAGAGTCTTTCTTACCGCTTTCTGTCAGCACACTGACGGCCACAAACATGGATGTCCCCACCAGGTCAAGGATCTCTGGGAAAGTGTTTGTGATATGCTCTCTCTTCAGTGTGACCTCTCCATGACCTTTCGTGATCTAATGTGACACCATTTAGAGATGCATCTTCAGTATAGTAGTACAGCCAGTGAGCAGCATGGTTTAGTTATGAAATATCCTAAATAAATAATGTACATTCATAGAATTGTAGCAACTCAGCTGAAATCACTGCAGACGTAGTAATAACAGAATATTGTAGTCTTGTAAAACATAACGTAAATACAGCAAAGTGTTAGAAGGGGCTCACCGGCACTCTCTGAAGAGAACTTGGGAAGCTTTGCTTTTGATCCTCTTGAATGACCCCAAATACCACGAAGGCGGTCCCATCCACCCATTCATCAAACAGATACCTAAAGCCACAAGACAGGCACGTGTTAAGGCCCACAATGACGCAACACAGAAAACACTAACAGACCAACATAAATCAGACTAAACCAAAAGCTGAAAACAACCTCTACTTCCTTCTGCAATTCATTTACCAATCAAACCTGGTTTCTCCACCACGAAAACAAATAACCTTCACATACTTAGCCTCGATGTTGACGGTGAACTCTCCACTGTCTACGTAGAAGAAGGAACTCGTAGGTTTCAGTTTAACCTCAAAGCTGGGCAGCACTGCAAAATGGAAAACATTTTTTTGTGCGTCAGAAAATGTGTTAATGTGGCAGGTTTATGTCGGTCTAAAATAGAAGTGCAGGTAATGAAGGACACACCGTATTCTTTGACCTCAAACTCTGCAGAATAGCTCAGCTGTGGGTTGCTGTGGAACCTTGTCACCACCTTCCATAGTCCAGAACTATGGACACACACACACACAAAAGAAATTAGCTTATTGCACAGGAGGTTTTGCCGTGCATGGAAAGGGTGGGCACCTGTGACAAGTTCAAATGATGATCTGTTATCAAATGATAAAGCATTGACCATACATGATAAAGAGTGTCCGTTCAGGTTGAAATGCTGAGAGTTAGTGATCAGCTACACTAAGATCGATTGCTTTGGTCTTCGCCGGCATATTCTTCTAGTAAATACATTTACAGAGGAAATACCATAAAATCATTCCTGTGATTATTTCTCTCCATTTACAAGGGCGTAACACACCTTGTATTTAAGTTTATAAACATTAATTGTATGTCCATCCATTAACATATATTATTTTGAATTGTAAAAGATATGTTTTGCAAATTCAAAATTAAATCGCCACTGATGTTGTTCATCAGTAGTATTCAATTAACCATCCATCAAAAAGCAAAAATATAGTGCTACTAACGTGTACCTGAAGTGTAAATACATCACTAAACAATACGATGTGAAAGAATGAAATGTGGAAAATGTAATTTAAATAAGATAAAGCACTAACCTAGCAATTTCAGGAAGTTGGTAATCTCCAGAGTGGATTCCGGATTTTAAAACGACTGGATCAAGTGGTAGAACGATGTTTTCAGGGGTCTGAACATTTTCAAAAATCATCAGCAGACATTAGGTTACAAATTCAGTTAATAAAACATTCCATAGTTTTTGTAAGTCTCATCTCTAAAACCCCTTATCTATGTCAACGTCTATGTTGTCCATAGACTGAATGATATTGACACTTTTTTCAGCTATTTGACTGATAAGTGAAAGATGTCGATTCCCCACTAGAGGGAGACATGCATTGTTTTGTACTGCCAGTCACAGTGACTCTATGATTTCACATTTAATTATGTGCTCGTTGATAAATCAGAAATACCACAATTTCGATGGAAATAGAAACTTCAGGTTGGTTTTGAGCATCTGTCTCCACTGGCTCCATACGAGGCGTCACAGCAAACATCCTGTAATAAACTGACACAGAGCCTCTTTCTATTTAGGGTCATGTAACTGATTTGAACCTAATTTAAGGTAAAATCATTCATATTGACATAAATGCACTCAAAGACATTCTCACCAGTCGGTGTGTTGTAGCATTGATGTAGATTAAAACTCACTTTTGTCTTTTGGGGTGTAGAGGGTCTTATCAGTCTGTATGAAGATGTACCCAGACTGGAAGGACAGCATGACCACTTTCTCCAGCACTCGGTCAGGAAACTGAGCTTTTAGGTACACATAGTGCTTCGTGCTGGCCTCCCTACTGAAGTATCTAGCAGGGATCTGAAATCAGTATAAAGAGACACAAATAGTGCATCAGAAGCAGGGTGAGAGGGTCTAAATCATGATCGCTCCTGGATTTCTTTATTAAACATTTGTGGCTACGAAAATGTTGCCAACACAGTGACCGTCTCAGAATATTTAAATTACCGTTATTCGTCCAAGCTGCTGGAAATGATTACCAGCATTAAGTGTCACAGCTGTGTTAGCCAGCTCTTCGTCTTTGGTTGGATGGCTCAACACGCTGATGATGACGTTGATGTCTCCTCCAGTGCAGTCTTGACACTCCACAAAGATTTGTTCTGCTGTACCTACACGCAACAAGTTGGGGGCTGACATCACCTTCCTGCAGCGGTGAGAGGAAGAGAGAGTGACAATAACACTCTGTGGTCACACACACAGTAAAGTGCAGATCTCTGCCTGTTGCGTCTCCCCTTCCCTCCAAAACAAAGTCTCACTGAGAATCACGATGGGGTCAAAGATAAGAGCAGAAGGGGACTTATTCAGTCATGTATAGATCTTGACTTTATGGGATCGTAACATCTAACGTGTGGTATGGAAGATGTTCCCATTGAGGACTAGATAAAGAAATGGCTGTACTTACATTTATAAATGAGCACAAACCTTATTAGGCTGATGGGTCCAGTGTGTGTGAGATTTGCTGGACGCACAAACTGGTAGAATCTCACATGCACATGAGACAGAACACATGATGTCCCACAGACTTACGTCAGGTGGAGATAATGAAGGATTTGTGGTGATTATGATTTTTGGGCCTTTATTTAGTGTTGTATATTTTGATCCTGGGTGCTGGCTGGCGCTGCTGTGTTTTCAGGCTGGGCGGGGCGACCAAGAGGAGTGCTCTCACTACCCGCACCTGTGGCCAATCAGCAATCTGACACGAATTATAGCCTGCTGTCTCCCAGGCCTCCTCATCGGATCATTACTTCTCATCGACGCGACTCTACGCCACACACCAGCACGCCACACACCAGCACGCTTACGCAGCCTTCGCTCCGGATCCTGCACTCGCGACCTTCTCCTCACGAGCCTCTTAAGAAATTAAGATTTTCGTTTGTTGACCACAAGACTTTGTCCCCGGTTCTGCTTTTGGATCCTGTCCTCATCCCCCATAACAGGATTGTTGTCACCATTTAAACACAATTACAGGTTTGCCTATTTGTCCAAACATTGCGAGAGTGGATCTGCCAGAGGAGTCGTTCCCAACCTTTCTCGTGTTCGACCCCTGACTTGTGAAAAGCCTCATTGCGGGAATCTTTGTGAGATTTAGGATTTGTGTTTCTTCATTTCACAAGAAAAAAGTCAGAATAAATAAACAGTTTTGTCTAACAGAAATATTTTCTATCTTCTAACCTCAGATTTATCCTGATTCCAAAACCTCTGTCTCAAATGATGTGAGTAAAAGTTCAAATTCACCAAAATCAGAGGATCCCGACTGCAGTGACTTCACCCCCAATGAGTAACCTATTGATTACTTAGATGAAGATGCAGCACTGGACAAACATTCATGGCTACAGACTCTGGCTCTGTCTGGCAGAAGAGACTGTTGTGCGAACTCTGAACCACATTCAGGGTCAGCTGACTGGCCTCATTTGAGAGTTTACATGACCTTGTGACACAAAGGACAAAGTGGACCGTAGCTTCTCATTAAGTGAGACACGAGTCTCTTACTCACTCGAGTGATATATTTGTATAAACACTTTTTAAATTGAATTTAAATGCAATGGAGCTCCATTAGCCAGGCAAGTGAGGAGGGTCGAGGCCACAGAGGCCACCAGCCACCACATCGTCCTACTCATCCTCCTGACTGATCTGCAGTGAATGAAGGCTGTCACTCGCCTTTTATCCTCCGTCCACCCTCCTCCTGCACCTCCGCCTTACCTGACCGAGGGTTTCTGCACACACATATGAACTTATACCCACATTAACATTGTTATCATTTACGAGCAGCGATTGAGAAACTGGTGAGCTTGGAGAGAGTTTATCTCTGCTCTGAGGACAAAGATGAACAACACAAAATAACTTTGAGAATGAACAGTTCACGGCAACGTTACAAAAAACAGCTTAAAATCTTTTCTACAGGGACATTTTTTGTTCATTTTAAATCTCGTTGTGGACCTGATAAATCAGCATATTTACCCCAAAACAAACAAACATATTGAATTGGCAAACAGACAACTAATCAGGTGAGAGCTGTGTTGAGTAATTTCTCGGAAATTTTTGTTTAGGTTTCAACAGCAGAGACTTTTCTACAGTGACGATCTAATCAAAATCATTACTGGCTATAATTTTATTCAAATAGGCTGAATAATCTGAATGTCGCAAATGTAGATTTATTTAAACATTGATCACATTATTTGGTAAAACTTGCTGTTCATGGTCCACCAGGTAACCACATAATAATTTTGTTCTGGCCTGGGAAATCTATTATACTCTTTCCACACCTCCTAAAAAAGGATTTTATTTTTCAAACGCTGTGTAACTCGTGCTTAAAATCTGGATAACTTATTTTCTTGTAACCTTTGACAAACCCTTCGGCAGCCACACAGTGTGTTTGCTCTGCTTGTCCAGAGTTCAATTATTTGGACATGGAGAAAGTTTATTTGGATGGTCATAATGAAAGTAGGTGACTCCAGGTTGCCCTCTGCTGATAAACTACAGCCTCTTTTATTTCCACAGTGTTCTGGTGGCATAAAAGAATGAGAAAAAAGCGCGATAGAAATAGAGTCCAAGATGGAGAGAGAGGGAGAGATATCCGGATCGGTTTCTGATTGGCGCAAACGTGGCCCGTGACTGGGCTCATCTGCATATGGACAGGTAGGTGAGCAGGTGAGAGAAAAGGTTCAGCTATGCCGCAATCACACGACCCCTGACCAGATTAAGAGTTTAGGTGCTTCGTCCGAGCATCTTGCTTTGAACCAAAAGTTACATCCAGGACACTTCCACTCCATGGAATTGATCAAAAACAGGCTTATCCTGCATACAGGGTCACTGGAGTCAAAGTATTACTTCATTAACAACGGTGAAATATAAATCAGTCATGCAAACGGTTATTAACATGATCTGTGTTTCTCGAGCATTGTTACGTCCCCAGAAATCTGGGTTCTTATAATGTTTCCAATTAGGGGATTACGTGTGTGTGTGTGTGTGTGTGTGTGTGTGTGTGTGTGTTTGTTTTCCAGACAGGATTGGGACCCGGAGCTTCACCCCTCTCGTCATTGGTTGCAGCTGGCTGGGCTCTTTAAAAAGCCCAGTTTTGGATCAGTTCGGGGGGATGCTCGCTGCATATTCACACATGTTGCTTTTGGTTTGTACCCTGTGTGAGGAGATATCAGTTGTGTTTAGTGTTCGATAACTTGTGTTCCTTTTGGAAACGTGTAGCAGCAGAAGAGAGCAACTGTTTGGGTCATTTGACTAATTATTTGTTTTCTCTTTTGTTCACAGGGAGTGGGGTGTAGATTTAGAGCTACCCCGGGGATACATCACTCGTAGGTTTACTTCTGTCTAGAAACACCAGTTTAGACCTGAGCGGACCACCACCTGTAAGTTTGGTTAGGGCGCCTTGACCGTGTGCCAGGTAGAGTGCTTTTCGATTGGGGGGGGTTAGTACAGGTTAGGGGTGGGGACCTTTTTGTTTATTTCTTTGTTTTGGTCCTGCCAGCCCTCCCCATTTCCCAGAAAGTTATTGTTTATTTATGTGTATTTATTTTGTTTAGATAAAAGCGTTATACTATATTTTGTGTTTGTCCTTTTCTCGCACCGCGACTCCATACCCCTTTTGCTGGCACCGGTGGGCCGGAGCAGTGGGTTGTCATGTTCCCCTCCCTTTTGGGAGCTGGAACGTAACAACCATGATAGTTATTTGTCGTGAACGGCCAAATGTTACTTCACTATTTAAATATTGCCGCCACAAGGAATTGTGGT